TAAACGAACGATCGCCCATACGTAACACGTTACAGTACATGTTCTCGTCACTCGAGTCAAACCTACTATTAAGAACAGCCCGGAACTCGTCGTTTGCACGCAGCAATTCAGCGACTCGATCGTAACGCTCTGGATGCTTGCGAATTAAAAAGATAAAACATTCCGTGTCTAATTTGCCCTTGATCGTCGCCAGCTCCATCGCTTTCTTAGTCTTAAAGCAACAAAAGAATACCGAGATCCATGTTGAATCATTAGTCCTGCGTCTACTGCTACACTGAAAGAGAGTCCGGCGTACCATTGCGTGCACATTTTCCACTACGAGGTCTTCCATCAGTTCTGCCGTTTCATCGAGAGGTTCAGCTTCATCAACAAAACCAAAGAGCATGTGCTTGACTATAGAGTCCACCACAGTCAATAATATACAACATGTTAGTATAGTGTTCCTATGTACCCATTTTATGCTAAAAAAGGAACCTATTGCTACCCACCAGCTCCCCACGCACAAATGGCTTTAGTTGAGCTGCTTGAGTAGGCTGGTCTCAGCGCCTGAGCCAGTTACATCGATGACTTCTGATGCATCCGTTACTAAACGTTTTTGCAGGGGCAATTTTCGTCTTTGTACCGGCACCTACGTCACTGATCTTGCGTTTGCGCGGTTTGGGCACAATCTTCTTCTTGCTGTTGATTGTATTCATGCCAATAGCTTCAAAATCACTTTGTGATAGAATGTTTCAAAAGACGATTTTTTCTTGGACGAAAACAAAGCGCGAAAAAATGGCTTCAACCTGCTTTATACTATAAAATGTTATACAGGTACCCGTTCAAGAATTTCGAGTATGACAAGACGAAACAATGCATTTCTCAAGCTTTATATATGTTCTTGCTTTGTGAGATTAGTTCATGGCCCTCTTTGTTTTTGCGTCTGTCAGGGCTTCAAAACCATTTTACATACGGGTTGCCACCGACACAAACAACAACTACATGATTCAAGGAACCTACAAAAAAGATGTCCACGAGATGGTGAAATCTTCAGAGCATCCAGATTGATCACACGCACCGAAAAACTCGCCGCGGTCGCTTCGGGATCTGGGTAGACACTTCGGGAACAAGACCATCACTAGGTAGCTGCGGCACATGGTCCAGCAAGCCCCATGTGTCTACGGGTGAATATCCCGGTTTCTCGGATAGAGTGGTCACATCGCCTTGAACAGATGTCGACACAGAGCGACCGACATACCCATTTGCAGCTCCGAACATGTTCATCGGACGTGGTAACACAGACCAAACACGCCGATTGAGGTTATCAGGTAGCTGTAGCGCTTCCACGAGTTCCTGTCATTGTTCAACACAAAAAAAACGGTTAGCATCACGTACTTGGATGCAACGGGTACAGCGATACTCACAAATTGCCTGTCGTAGAGTACAGAGGCGTTGACGATCGGAATGAGGTCTAGAATCCAGCTAAACAGTGAAAGTCCTGGCCCAGATGAGACTGCCGATGTGCCAAGCAAGGAAAATAAAGTCTTGACGATGCGGTCACGACAGCAAATGGTCAAGACAGCATGCTTGCTAGGCCCGATGACGCCCACAAGCTGAAGCCGCACAGCCAACTTGCATCGAAGTCGACGTTGGAAAAGGCTGTTGTGTAACACCTGGTCAGGGGATGCGGATTGTTGCTGCTTGTCATACAGGGTACAGCCCTCGTACAGCCATTCGAGTTGAGTAGCGAGCGACATCATGTAGCGCGGCAAGAAGGCGTTGCCAGGAGGTGTACAGATAATGCCACCAACAAGATGCACAACCGACGTTGTGCTGAACTGTCGAGAAAACTTGTCAGGTTGCGAGTGTTTCACATCGTCTTCGAGAATTTGGAATATCTTGGCAACCACTGATCCCATGGCGCGCCTTGAGATGCTGCAAACTGTGGCGGCATACAAAGATGCCACCACTGAGTCTTGAGCCTCTCGCGCTGCCTCTAGCATACGAGCTTCGCATGGGGTCAAGGAATTCTGCATTGCTGCAGCAGTCATGGGCAGAGCCAGCGCTATATTGACTTCCTTGAAGTATCGTTCGGACTTGGTGTACCCCCACGGTGTTTGCCGTCGTTTCCTTCTCCAAGATGAACGTAGTGCGGCGTACCGTAAAGTTTTGGGGTGACAAGAGGTGACGATTACAAAAGGGTAGTCATTGTTGCTGACGTCGTCTGAGCCACAGATACGGATGACGACGTCGCAGAGGATAATGACAACGAAGTCGATCCAACCCCGGGAGTCGGTCGCAAGCTGCGCAGTACGATCAGCTCGACAAAATTTCGGTAGCGCTACTTGCTTCATCAAATACCAACTCGAGCTCAAGGTCGTCATCGTCGGCTTCTTCTTCTCCATCCAAGAAATTGCTGCCTAGTAGACTACCACCGAATGATGACACTTTATCTGCTTGACTACCGAGAGACATTCTGCCGTCAGCAAAGTCATTCACTCCAGCTGCAAGAGCACCCTCACCGCTATCCACTGCTGCACGCTTGCTACAGCGCGTAGAGAGATCTCCCTGGGGTGCTTTTCGTTTATTGGACCCTGCTGGATGCTGTGGTGTTTGTTGGTGCTGCTGTCGTGTGCGTCGCTTAGAACGCTTTACCTTCTGCTGCTGTCGACTCATTTGCAAGTCAAGGTAAATTGAGCCGCCACGATGAAGTGTCCAGACGTTCATCTGATCAATGATTTGCCCCACCTTGAGCAATTGTACCTGCCCGTTCCCGTCCTCTGCAGGCGATGAAGGTGGCCGGAAAAAGTGTGTCAGCAGGACAGCTGTATGCCACTGCTTTTTGTGGTAAACGGGAAGAATATGCTTTTCTCGGGCCTCTTTTGTATCATAGAAAATGATGTCGCGAACAATACCGTCTGATGTCAAATTGAAAAGCGTGGCGCTAGCCAACGTGCCACGCTCCTCGCGTTTGCGAAGCAGAAAGTTGTCCTCCATCTGGTATGAGATCTGGCACAACAGAAAGCATAACGGGAACATCAAGCACGCTGGCACCTGTGTGCACAGGAATCGCAGATGGTATTTTGTCTGCGTTCCGGATAAGCAAATTGGTTAGAATTTAAGATACGACTACAATTACAAGATGCAGCAAATAGCATCTCACCAACGGCTCGTCGAACATGACAATCTTTTGTGGATCAAGGGGTAAATTCTGCGGAGGCTCCGAAAAGAGCTGAAAAACGAGGGCCATGGCAAGTAACTGCGTCGGCAAGTTTGGTGGTGGGTCACGTGATGCACGGCGCTAGCCATGAGTGCCAAGATAGTCACTAATAGTAAGCTCTAATTGAGTACAAAAAATCACATACCAGTCGTGGGAAGAGCGGAACGAGTACCAATCGGAGCACCTGGGAGAGATCTAGCACTTATGCACAACAAGAGATACCAGAAAACTCTTGAGTCCGTACTGCAGGCGGTCCAGACGGCCTTTTTGGTTGAGTGCGAAAGCTTCCTTGCTGTTGTCAGCATTCAGAAATGGATTGCGCGAACGCTTTGGCGTATCACTACCATCAAAACCAGGCAGCACTTCCTTTTGTAACCACACTACCAGGGTGTTCGAGAACTTTTCGTTGAATTCCTCGCCATTATCAGGATGCTGTTCCACGACCTCCCAAATAAGTCGGACGCAACGGTGCACATAATGCGGGGTTGTGATGGGCCGCTTGCAGTTTGACTTTACCCGAGCCGAGGACAGGAAGTCCATTACTGTCCAATCGAATACGATTGGACAAAACCAATCGAGTAAGACAATAATTTGAAAAACTAACCGGAACCGCGAGCCGTAACCGAGTAGAAGATTAAATGGTCGCTCATGCAAAGTATCGATTAAGTAAACGTCTTTCAACCAACCAATTCAACCCTGAAGTAGCAATAGTGTGGAGCTCTTCCCCTGGAAGCCCATCCAACGAGTCAATTGGCATAAATTCTCCCGAGAAGACTAAAGCAAAATGGTGATTAAGTACGTGCACATTTGGCTTTCTATATAAACGCCTATGGAAGTAGCGGAAGACAAGCATAAGAAGGAGGGTACAGCATACAGATCGCAGGGCGTCAGCATCTAGTGACACACGTTGCATATACGTGTTCGCTTCAGCAACTAGCTAGTAATGACGCCAGACTTTCTCTGTTCCTTTCTTTAGCAGCTTCTTCCGCTTATTCTCCAGCCACTATAAGGTCATAAGTGCCTCTAACGTGTGTGGCATTTTGATCTCAGGACCGAGACGTGCTCGTTCAGCGAGAGCGCATCTACCCTGGCCACGGTTCGCGCTACATTTCGTCGTGATGGCTCAGCTTACGTGTTCATTAACGCAAAGAGCAAGTCGCTTTTTATGCAACGCAAGAAAGCAACCAAAATTGTGTGGACCCTTGGCTGACGTCGCATGAACAAGAAGCTTAAGGTTTGTAGTCGGTAGAAACAAGAAGTTGAAGAGTGAGGAAGTTAGTACTTATGTTTGTACAACGATACAATGCTTTGGTTTTGTAATAGGCTGAGCAGATCACCCGCCGTCGTGCTCGCAAGACTACCTAGATCCAGCGTGCCATTGTCGGTGTCTCGGCTGATGACGTGAGTGATTATAGTATTGGAACTGCTGCTGAATGAACTTGTTTAAGGTGCTTAAACTAATACGAACTGTAATGATGATGTGTTGGACTGTGAACAGATCCGCAAAAAGCGTAACCAGAAACCAGAGGTCCGTGCTGCTGCCCGTGCTGCTCTGAAGGAGGCAAAGGATCGCAGCAAGGCGAAAAAGTCGGTGTCCAAGTCCGAGCATGCCAGCAAGGGCATTAAGGACGGTAACGCCCCTCATGCTCAGAAGAAGTCGAGTAACGGTGGTGCCATTTAAATCAGCTGATCGGATTGACTGATCGACGCACTGCTACTCGGGAGTATCGCCACTTCTTGGATGTTAATTATCGAGACGTGGATTTTTCTATTTGCCTCTTCTGAGCAATGGGCAGACGCTCTAGTGCGTTTCTTTTGCTAGTTAGTTTGACCGCCAGTTGTGCTGCCAACTTAAGTGGAACGAATACAATAAACGTATGTCTTGGAGGAAGATCCTTGTTCCCAATGCTATTATGTTTAGGTAGTAAAAGGATCGGGGCTAGTTAAAAAAGATCGAAAATCTTTGACTTGAATTTAGTCCGCCAGACAAGTCATTAATTAATGCAGTATTATTTAAGGTAAGTTTCACTGGGTCTAGTCAGCTAATCAGAAAGGAGCGATGGTTTTTTATCTTGACCATAGTATAGTCATATAAATTCAATCTTATTCATTTGCAAACAGAAATTCGTGTCTCGTCCTTCATTCGAGTGGATAATGGTAAAGCTGTTTTGTGTCATCTTCGGTATGAAGGAAAGTGTGTTTCCTGTCAACATCGATACGACTATGAGTGTGGGGGACCTCAAAGAAGCAATCGCGGCAAAGAAGACGAACGCCTTGAAGAACGTTGATGCGAACCATCTGCGTCTTTTCTTGGCAAAGGAAATGGACGGCGAGTGGCTCGCGTCTGACTTGAAAATCGTGAAGAAGCTGAAGAAGGGTAAGAAAAATTCTTATATTGAAGCACTCACGGCGAAAAAAAAGAACTGCAGGCAGATCACTCCCTTGATGTTATTTTTGATGAAAATACTCTCCCACCGTATGGCTACATCCACGTACTGATCAAGCTACCTAAATCGATCGTGTATGCTGCTTCGCTTATAACGAACGTGCAACTTCCCACAACTACTGCGTTAAACGAGCCCGAAAAATACGCTGAGGAGTGCATCTCACTGGACGATTGGAAAGTCAACGCTGTGCACGAGATTCCGTTGATCTGGCAATATATGAGCAGCTTGGGTGGATGCACCCAAACAGGAAAAATGTTTTGGCGAAAGAGAGATGACAAAATTGTATCGCTGCTATTGGATGGATGGTTTCGAGAGTCATCCCCGCTGTCCAAAAAGAAGAGTATCATGGTAGGCTCGCCGGGTATTGGCAAGTCGACGCTGTTGTGCGTGATGGCTTTCCATCTCGTTTTCAAGCACAAAAAGAATGTGCTGGTATACCGACGATTGAGTAAATATGATTACGAGAACTGTCTTTTTTATTTGGGTTACGAAGATAGCAAGGTCGTGCAGTTTGTAGTGCAGAGGTGCAAAGACCAGAATGCAATCAACATATATGAAGAGCTCATCCGCCAACAGGGCATATCGAACGTATGGCTGTTGTTGGATGGATTTCATTACCAAGATATTCCGGCTGGTGTGCGAACGTTTAAGATGCTGGCAACGTCGCAGCAAGTGGATCTGAAGTCTGGAGAGCGAACTGATGCGTACTGCTGTCTGTTTCCTTGCTGGTCACGAAAGGATCTCTTTTCGGTGGGAAAACTTATTTATAAGTTTCACCGTAAAGGCATGATTAAGCGTTTCTACTATTCTGGCGGAAGTGTGCGCGAGTTTACACTGTCTACATGCACTGACATAATCGATGCAATTAACAATGCGATCAGCAGTGTAAACGATGTTTCGAACTTGCTTAACAACAAGTCTAGTATTTTGACGGGGGGATTGCAAGTTGATCGCTTGCGCCATACTTTCGTGAAAAACCGACGTGCTATATCTCCGCTTTACTCGAAGGAGTGGTGGAAACCGTTTATCTACAGGTCGTGTTGGGAACAAGTTATCGACTCGGAATATGCTGCGCGTTGTCTCTCATTGAGACTCCGATCGGATGCACTATTTCGAATATATGCGTGGGCGAAAAACACTGGAAACAATTCACTTACTGGAGCCGTTTTTGAGATTCTTCTACATCGCCTGGCTGCCGACAACCAATTGGATCTCTATATTTTCGAATATGTTTCACCAAATGAAAGTAAACCACCCGCGGAAGAACAAATCGCACCGCGTCATCATAAAGCGGGGCAGGTGCGTTTGAAAAAAAAAGTGCGACCTGCTCTGGAACGGCAAGCAATTATGTGAGCCATCTGACGGAATGGAGAGATGATAAAAAGTGCTCGTACTGGTTTCCTGCGTGTGACAAATTTCCGAATATTGACAGCATCGTGAAGCTTAAGTCTACATCCAACAAGAAGGGCAATGTAGCGTATCTTCAATTTACTGTTGCGGGTCAGCATAGCATTGACAGCAACCAGCTGAAAGAGATGAACAAGATTTTTTACCCAGACGATGTGAAGAATGCTGATGATACCGAGCCACCAATTTACATCGCAGTTTGTCCAGATCGTAAATCTTGCAAAGCGCTTCGCCTGGATACGAAAGCCGAAGTCTTAGCAGCGAGAAAAGTTTGTCAAGTATTTGTGGGCTACTACGTCGAGAATAAACGTGGTATTGCCGCTGATGACCAGATGAACGATTTGCTTCTCCAAATCCTGCCGCCTAATTCATCGCACCATTATGTTGATGATTTCGGTCTTTCAGCATATAAACAAAAAAAGCGACAGCGCCCGAAGTGGTAGCAAGAAACGTTCATCGTTTTTCGTCTGTTAATCTTCCTGTCAAGCAGCCTACATAATTGATGTTTTACGTAGCTGCGTCAGCTACGTTAAGCGGAATAATACACATTGATATTAACAGAGTGCTTCTTAAGTGTGAGCAATTCCAATGACTTACTTCTGATGCTATATATTGTGGCGTCAGCTATAGCACTTGAGGCATTGCCCTTGGAAACTGATGATGGAATGATGGAAAACTGGCCGACTAGACGAGCTACGAGAGAATGGAAAAATAGGAAGTAGCAGCCATTTACGACACGATCGTCTGCTTCTGCTATGGTTTTAGCTCGTAAATGCAAACGCAATGAAGAGCACAAGTTTTTAAATGGCAAGAAACAGTCTATGGACTTGTCGTGATGGCAGCAATAACAATCGTGGTGACGGGGGACGAGAGAATTTGGACATGGAAGAACAACTTGCAGCTTTTGTAGAATATGTATGCTGTATTGTGATTAGAAACAAGTTTATATGTGGAGACTAATGAAGTGGGGGTTGGTTTGGACCGGGCACGAGTTATTTGTCACGGGCATAGAGCACCGTGTCCAACATGGACTCATAGAGTAAAAAGTAGCCCATCCACTCGGAAATGATGATGTCCACCTTGTCCACAAGTAACGTGAGCTCCTCCATTTTGCCTTGAATGAGCGTGATCGTGTCTGCGAAGCCATTGGCCTTGACAATCTTGCGCGCCTGCGTCAGGATACCCGGACAATCGACGCCGTACACGTGCTTGGCACCAGCCTTGGCAGCAAACATGGATAGAATAAATAACCAGTTCCACAACCCACATCCAGCACCACTTTGACTTTAAACAAGTGCTTGCTCTGGAGAATGACACTCATGTAAACTTTGGTACGCACGGTATCCTTGAGCATATCCTCATGAATGCCAAAGTGTGAGCAACGCGTCGATCAGTCAATCCGATCAGCTGATTTAAATGGCACCACCGTTACTCGACTTCTTCTGAGCATGAGGGGCGTTACCGTCCTTAATGCCCTTGCTGGCATGCTCGGACTTGGACACCGACTTTTTCGCCTTGCTGCGATCCTTTGCCTCCTTCAGAGCAGCACGGGCAGCAGCACGGACCTCTGGTTTCTGGTTACGCTTTTTGCGGATCTGTTCACAGTCCAACACATCATCATTACAGTTCGTATTAGTTTAAGCACCTTAAACAAGTTCATTCAGCAGCAGTTCCAATACTATAATCACTCACGTCATCAGCCGAGACACCGACAATGGCACGCTGGATCTAGGTAGTCTTGCGAGCACGACGGCGGGTGATCTGCTCAGCCTATTACAAAACCAAAGCATTGTATCGTTGTACAAACATAAGTACTAACTTCCTCACTCTTCAACTTCTTGTTTCTACCGACTACAAACCTTAAGCTTCTTGTTCATGCGACGTCAGCCAAGGGTCCACACAATTTTGGTTGCTTTCTTGCGTTGCATAAAAAGCGACTTGCTCTTTGCGTTAATGAACACGTAAGCTGAGCCATCACGACGAAATGTAGCGCGAACCGTGGCCAGGGTAGATGCGCTCTCGCTGAACGAGCACGTCTCGGTCCTGAGATCAAAATGCCACACACGTTAGAGGCACTTATGACCTTATAGTGGCTGGAGAATAAGCGGAAGAAGCTGCTAAAGAAAGGAACAGAGAAAGTCTGGCGTCATTACTAGCTAGTTGCTGAAGCGAACACGTATATGCAACGTGTGTCACTAGATGCTGACGCCCTGCGATCTGTATGCTGTACCCTCCTTCTTATGCTTGTCTTCCGCTACTTCCATAGGCGTTTATATAGAAAGCCAAATGTGCACGTACTTAATCACCATTTTGCTTTAGTCTTCTCGGGAGAATTTATGCCAATTGACTCGTTGGATGGGCTTCCAGGCGAAGAGCTCCACACTATTGCTACTTCAGGGTTGAATTGGTTGGTTGAAAGACGTTTACTTAATCGATACTTTGCATGAGCGACCATTTAACCTTCTACTCGGTTACGGCTCGCGGTTCCGGTTAGTTTTTCAAATTATTGTCTTACTCGATTGGTTTTGTCCAATCGTATTCGATTGGACAGTAATGTACTTCCTGTCCTCGGCTCGGGTAAAGTCAAACTGCAAGCGGCCCATCACAACCCCGCATTATGTGCACCGTTGCGTCCGACTTATTTGGGAGGTCGTGGAACAGCATCCTGATAATGGCGAGGAATTCAACGAAAAGTTCTCGAACACCCTGGTAGTGTGGTTACAAAAGGAAGTGCTGCCTGGTTTTGATGGTAGTGATACGCCAAAGCGTTCGCGCAATCCATTTCTGAATGCTGACAACAGCAAGGAAGCTTTCGCACTCAACCAAAAAGGCCGTCTGGACCGCCTGCAGTACGGACTCAAGAGTTTTCTGGTATCTCTTGTTGTGCATAAGTGCTAGATCTCTCCCAGGTGCTCCGATTGGTACTCGTTCCGCTCTTCCCACGACTGGTATGTGATTTTTTGTACTCAATTAGAGCTTACTATTAGTGACTATCTTGGCACTCATGGCTAGCGCCGTGCATCACGTGACCCACCACCAAACTTGCCGACGCAGTTACTTGCCATGGCCCTCGTTTTTCAGCTCTTTTCGGAGCCTCCGCAGAATTTACCCCTTGATCCACAAAAGATTGTCATGTTCGACGAGCCGTTGGTGAGATGCTATTTGCTGCATCTTGTAATTGTAGTCGTATCTTAAATTCTAACCAATTTGCTTATCCGGAACGCAGACAAAATACCATCTGCGATTCCTGTGCACACAGGTGCCAGCGTGCTTGATGTTCCCGTTATGCTTTCTGTTGTGCCAGATCTCATACCAGATGGAGGACAACTTTCTGCTTCGCAAACGCGAGGAGCGTGGCACGTTGGCTAGCGCCACGCTTTTCAATTTGACATCAGACGGTATTGTTCGCGACATCATTTTCTATGATACAAAAGAGGCCCGAGAAAAGCATATTCTTCCCGTTTACCACAAAAAGCAGTGGCATACAGCTGTCCTGCTGACACACTTTTTCCGGCCACCTTCATCGCCTGCAGAGGACGGGAACGGGCAGGTACAATTGCTCAAGGTGGGGCAAATCATTGATCAGATGAACGTCTGGACACTTCATCGTGGCGGCTCAATTTACCTTGACTTGCAAATGAGTCGACAGCAGCAGAAGGTAAAGCGTTCTAAGCGACGCACACGACAGCAGCACCAACAAGCACCACAGCATCCAGCAGGGTCCAATAAACGAAAAGCACCCCAGGGAGATCTCTCTACGCGCTGTAGCAAGCGTGCAGCAGTGGATAGCGGTGAGGGTGCTCTTGCAGCTGGAGTGAATGACTTTGCTGACGGCAGAATGTCTCTCGGTAGTCAAGCAGATAAAGTGTCATCATTCGGTGGTAGTCTACTAGGCAGCAATTTCTTGAATGGAGAAGAAGAAGCCGACGATGACGACCTTGAGCTCGAGTTGGTATTTGATGAAGCAAGTAGCGCTACCGAAATTTTGTCGAGCTGATCGTACTGCGCAGCTTGCGACCGACTCCCGGGGTTGGATCGACTTCGTTGTCATTATCCTCTGCGACGTCGTCATCCGTATCTGTGGCTCAGACGACGTCAGCAACAATGACTACCCTTTTGTAATCGTCACCTCTTGTCACCCCAAAACTTTACGGTACGCCGCACTACGTTCATCTTGGAGAAGGAAACGACGGCAAACACCGTGGGGGTACACCAAGTCCGAACGATACTTCAAGGAAGTCAATATAGCGCTGGCTCTGCCCATGACTGCTGCAGCAATGCAGAATTCCTTGACCCCATGCGAAGCTCGTATGCTAGAGGCAGCGCGAGAGGCTCAAGACTCAGTGGTGGCATCTTTGTATGCCGCCACAGTTTGCAGCATCTCAAGGCGCGCCATGGGATCAGTGGTTGCCAAGATATTCCAAATTCTCGAAGACGATGTGAAACACTCGCAACCTGACAAGTTTTCTCGACAGTTCAGCACAACGTCGGTTGTGCATCTTGTTGGTGGCATTATCTGTACACCTCCTGGCAACGCCTTCTTGCCGCGCTACATGATGTCGCTCGCTACTCAACTCGAATGGCTGTACGAGGGCTGTACCCTGTATGACAAGCAGCAACAATCCGCATCCCCTGACCAGGTGTTACACAACAGCCTTTTCCAACGTCGACTTCGATGCAAGTTGGCTGTGCGGCTTCAGCTTGTGGGCGTCATCGGGCCTAGCAAGCATGCTGTCTTGACCATTTGCTGTCGTGACCGCATCGTCAAGACTTTATTTTCCTTGCTTGGCACATCGGCAGTCTCATCTGGGCCAGGACTTTCACTGTTTAGCTGGATTCTAGACCTCATTCCGATCGTCAACGCCTCTGTACTCTACGACAGGCAATTTGTGAGTATCGCTGTACCCGTTGCATTGGGAGGTCGTGGAACAGCATCCTGATAATGGCGAGGAATTCAACGAAAAGTTCTCGAACACCCTGGTAGTGTGGTTACAAAAGGAAGTGCTGCCTGGTTTTGATGGTAGTGATACGCCAAAGCGTTCGCGCAATCCATTTCTGAATGCTGACAACAGCAAGGAAGCTTTCGCACTCAACCAAAAAGGCCGTCTGGACCGCCTGCAGTACGGACTCAAGAGTTTTCTGGTATCTCTTGTTGTGCATAAGTGCTAGATCTCTCCCAGGTGCTCCGATTGGTACTCGTTCCGCTCTTCCCACGACTGGTATGTGATTTTTTGTACTCAATTAGAGCTTACTATTAGTGACTATCTTGGCACTCATGGCTAGCGCCGTGCATCACGTGACCCACCACCAAACTTGCCGACGCAGTTACTTGCCATGGCCCTCGTTTTTCAGCTCTTTTCGGAGCCTCCGCAGAATTTACCCCTTGATCCACAAAAGATTGTCATGTTCGACGAGCCGTTGGTGAGATGCTATTTGCTGCATCTTGTAATTGTAGTCGTATCTTAAATTCTAACCAATTTGCTTATCCGGAACGCAGACAAAATACCATCTGCGATTCCTGTGCACACAGGTGCCAGCGTGCTTGATGTTCCCGTTATGCTTTCTGTTGTGCCAGATCTCATACCAGATGGAGGACAACTTTCTGCTTCGCAAACGCGAGGAGCGTGGCACGTTGGCTAGCGCCACGCTTTTCAATTTGACATCAGACGGTATTGTTCGCGACATCATTTTCTATGATACAAAAGAGGCCCGAGAAAAGCATATTCTTCCCGTTTACCACAAAAAGCAGTGGCATACAGCTGTCCTGCTGACACACTTTTTCCGGCCACCTTCATCGCCTGCAGAGGACGGGAACGGGCAGGTACAATTGCTCAAGGTGGGGCAAATCATTGATCAGATGAACGTCTGGACACTTCATCGTGGCGGCTCAATTTACCTTGACTTGCAAATGAGTCGACAGCAGCAGAAGGTAAAGCGTTCTAAGCGACGCACACGACAGCAGCACCAACAAACACCACAGCATCCAGCAGGGTCCAATAAACGAAAAGCACCCCAGGGAGATCTCTCTACGCGCTGTAGCAAGCGTGCAGCAGTGGATAGCGGTGAGGGTGCTCTTGCAGCTGGAGTGAATGACTTTGCTGACGGCAGAATGTCTCTCGGTAGTCAAGCAGATAAAGTGTCATCATTCGGTGGTAGTCTACTAGGCAGCAATTTCTTGGATGGAGAAGAAGAAGCCGACGATGACGACCTTGAGCTCGAGTTGGTATTTGATGAAGCAAGTAGCGCTACCGAAATTTTGTCGAGCTGATCGTACTGCGCAGCTTGCGACCGACTCCCGGGGTTGGATCGACTTCGTTGTCATTATCCTCTGCGACGTCGTCATCCGTATCTGTGGCTCAGACGACGTCAGCAACAATGACTACCCTTTTGTAATCGTCACCTCTTGTCACCCCAAAACTTTACGGTACGCCGCACTACGTTCATCTTGGAGAAGGAAACGACGGCAAACACCGTGGGGGTACACCAAGTCCGAACGATACTTCAAGGAAGTCAATATAGCGCTGGCTCTGCCCATGACTGCTGCAGCAATGCAGAATTCCTTGACCCCATGCGAAGCTCGTATGCTAGAGGCAGCGCGAGAGGCTCAAGACTCAGTGGTGGCATCTTTGTATGCCGCCACAGTTTGCAGCATCTCAAGGCGCGCCATGGGATCAGTGGTTGCCAAGATATTCCAAATTCTCGAAGACGATGTGAAACACTCGCAACCTGACAAGTTTTCTCGACAGTTCAGCACAACGTCGGTTGTGCATCTTGTTGGTGGCATTATCTGTACACCTCCTGGCAACGCCTTCTTGCCGCGCTACATGATGTCGCTCGCTACTCAACTCGAATGGCTGTACGAGGGCTGTACCCTGTATGACAAGCAGCAACAATCCGCATCCCCTGACCAGGTGTTACACAACAGCCTTTTCCAACGTCGACTTCGATGCAAGTTGGCTGTGCGGCTTCAGCTTGTGGGCGTCATCGGGCCTAGCAAGCATGCTGTCTTGACCATTTGCTGTCGTGACCGCATCGTCAAGACTTTATTTTCCTTGCTTGGCACATCGGCAGTCTCATCTGGGCCAGGACTTTCACTGTTTAGCTGGATTCTAGACCTCATTCCGATCGTCAACGCCTCTGTACTCTACGACAGGCAATTTGTGAGTATCGCTGTACCCGTTGCATCCAAGTACGTGATGCTAACCGTTTTTTTTGTGTTGAACAATGACAGGAACTCGTGGAAGCGCTACAGCTACCTGATAACCTCAATCGGCGTGTTTGGTCTGTGTTACCACGTCCGATGAACATGTTCGGAGCTGCAAATGGGTATGTCGGTCGCTCTGTGTCGACATCTGTTCAAGGCGATGTGACCACTCTATCCGAGAAACCGGGATATTCACCCGTAGACACATGGGGCTTGCTGGACCATGTGCCGCAGCTACCTAGTGATGGTCTTGTTCCCGAAGTGTCTACCCAGATCCCGAAGCGACCGCGGCGAGTTTTTCGGTGCGTGTGATCAATCTGGATGCTCTGAAGATTTCACCATCTCGTGGACATCTTTTTTGTAGGTTCCTTGAATCATGTAGTTGTTGTTTGTGTCGGTGGCAACCCGTATGTAAAATGGTTTTGAAGCCCTGACAGACGCAAAAACAAAGAGGGCCATGAACTAATCTCACAAAGCAAGAACATATATAAAGCTTGAGAAATGCATTGTTTCGTCTTGTCATACTCGAAATTCTTGAACGGGTACCTGTATAACATTTTATAGTATAAAGCAGGTTGAAGCCATTTTTTCGCGCTTTGTTTTCGTCCAAGAAAAAATCGTCTTTTGAAACATTCTATCACAAAGTGATGTTGAAGCTATTGGCATGAATACAATCAACAGCAAGAAGAAGATTGTGCCCAAACCGCGCAAACGCAAGATCAGTGACGTAGGTGCCGGTACAAAGACGAAAATTGCCCCTGCAAAAACGTTTAGTAACGGATGCATCAGAAGTCATCGATGTAACTGGCTCAGGCGCTGAGACCAGCCTACTCAAGCAGCTCAACTAAAGCCATTTGTGCGTGGGGAGCTGGTGGGTAGCAATAGGTTCCTTTTTTAGCATAAAATGGGTACATAGGAACACTATACTAACATGTTGTATATTATTGACTGTGGTGGACTCTATAGTCAAGCACATGCTCTTTGGTTTTGTTGATGAAGCTGAACCTCTCGATGAAACGGCAGAACTGATGGAAGACCTCGTAGTGGAAAATGTGCACGCAATGGTACGCCGGACTCTCTTTAAGTGTAGCAGTAGACGCAGGACTAATGATTCAACATGGATCTCGGTATTCTTTGTTGCTTTAAGACTAAGAAAGCGATGGAGCTGGCGACGATCAAGGGCAAATTAGACACGGAATGTTTTATCTTTTTAATTCGCAAGCATCCAGAGCGTTACGATCGAGTCGCTGAATTGCTGCGTGCAAACGACGAGTTCCGGGCTGTTCTTAATAGTAGGTTTGACTCGAGTGACGAGAACATGTACTGTAACGTGTTACGTATGGGCGATCGTTCGTTTAGCGAACGGC